GGCCCTTTAATCCTTCCCAGAACTCACCAATGCCGGTGAAAATGTTTCAAAAATGGGCCAAGCAGCCGAGTTTTCGGCGGATGAGCGACGGGTACTTCTTGACAAAGAGGTGGGTGTCTATTAATGTGCGTTAATTTATACGGTCACGTAAGGCTACGTATTGTCTCGTACTGGACTGATTTGTGCGCATTGTAACGTATCTATTACTTGAATACTTACTCTACGAACTATGAATAGGTCAGCCTAGGTCCTAAGCCCAAGCCTAAGCCTACGCCTACGCTTAAGCTTAAGCAGAAGCGCAACGGAAACCTACGCAATTCCTCGTACCACCAAAACAACCCCCTACGACAAAATAGGGGTTTCCCCTCACACGATGCCGTGACTTGACGGACGCGATTTTTCTGTCCCCCCCCCCTCTTGCTCCTCTTTCTCCGGTCTCGACGTCTTCCGAGAAGCTGTCGCTCATTCTTCAGGCTCCCCCTCAGAAGACCGGAATTATGTTTTGCAGGCCGCTTCTGATGGGTCGTCTCCCCGGGGCTTTAGGGCCGACAGAGCCCGGGTCCACTGATTTTTGGAGGTCTTTGGATTTCGAGGAAATTGTGAGCTAGTTTTCTTTCGCGCTCTCGTTCCATCTCTGTCTATCTCACACTAGTTCTCTCTCTCGCTCTCTCTCCCTCGATCTCGCTCTTTGGAGACCAGCTGTCACGATCCCTTTAAAAGCGCTGCTCATGCCCTTTTTTTTAAGGATCTCTGCTAGATTGCCGGGATGGAGAGAGGGAGAGAGACAGGGAGAGAGAGACAGAGAGAGAGGGAGAGAGGAAGAGAGGGAGAAAAGTAGAGGTTGAGAAGTAGAGAGAAAGAGATAGAGAGAGCATGAGCGAGAATGCGAGCAAGAGAACGAGAGATTGAGAGCAAGAATGAGCCAGACATGTATCCCCTTCCTGTCCCCATCCCTTTAAAACTCCACCCCACTCCAAGATACACCTCATACGACGGCAGCTAGGGCCCAGTGCGGAGAGCACATGCTCCCCGGCCCCGTTTTCTTCTTCGCTTTTTGCGATGACGTCACCCTCCGTGTGTCCTCTGTGCCTTAGGACCCATAGGCCAAGGGCCCAGGGCCCAAAGAAAAGGGCCCAGCAGAGAAAGACTCCGTTTTTCGGGGGCTGCAACTTCGCAGTGGGACAGCCGCCTGCCGGGGCCATTGCTGGACATTTGGGCCCCGCCGGGCCGTTGCAATTCCGCTTTGATCTTTTCACACTTCCGATCTGATTTCCGGTTAAAGGGGCGTTGAAGGCAAATATTGTGTCTGATTACGCCATTAAAATCCTTGAATATACTTTTAAAGGTTCCCATCATCTAGCCCAGATATCGATCAGATTACGCTAGGAAAATCGCTAAAAAACTGTTAAAACCATTTTCTCTTCGATTTTCGTATTTTTCCATTTTAAAGGGCCATTGAAGGCAAGCTATCAATTTGATTACGCTACGTAAATGTATTAAAATAGCAGAAAATCACTTTCAACCTCAAAAAACCGGAGCTATTTTTCCTGGTTCCAAAATTTGCATCCGATTACGCTAACTATGTAAAAACTGAAAATCCAAATTTTCCTGAAACCGGTCCCGTCGCGATTTTTTTGGCTGGCATCACCAGAACACAGGCAGCTACGTTACTTTCCTGATGACGGTCCCCAGGTGCCCGGAAATTGGGTATTTTCTTGATGGGCGCCCGCCTATGGATTTTCTCCCTGGAAATGCCACCCAAAACTAGCGACCATTTGTCATTTTTGACGGTTTTTGTATTGTACCGTAAGCGGTATCGTATGCCTACCGTAATCCTTGAATTTAGGAATTATAATAAATCTGTTAACTTTAAAAAATCGAGAAACATTAGTCATTTTTTACGGTTTTTTCGTCGCGGCTAGCGTAAATTTTGCCAAAAATCTAGTTTTGTCTTTTTTACGATTTTTACTGCATGTACCGGGACGCTTACCGTACGCTAGCCAAAGTAAATTAAAAATATCTCGCAAAAAATTTTGCGAATTGTCATTTCTACGGTTTTTCTGGCAGCTGGTCTAGCGATTACCGTACTCGAGCTAGCTTAAATTCTAGAATTTTGAAGACGCGATATTTGTCATTTTTTACGATTTTTACTACAGGTACTAAATTTCAAAATTTCCTAAAATCTGACATTTGTAATTATTTACGCTTTTTCTGGAAAATGGCCTCGTAATTACCATATTCGAGCTACAGTAAATACCCGAAAGCCAAAAAATTCGATACTTGTCATTTTTTACGGTTTTCCGGCAAATGACGTAGAAATGGAGAGCCACTCTGTTTTGAGGTAATGTTGGTGGTTCTTTGCGTCCAATTTTGCGTAGAGGAAGGGGGGAGGGGAGGGCAAGAAGTGAGCAGGGAGTGTTTGAGCAACAACTGTTCTTCTTCCGCCAAAAACCCCAGCCCCCAGCTCAGCCTCCAATGGCCCTCCAATTCCGCGACACTCCGCCAGAAAAAAAACTGACTGCTCGGGGCCCAACCCAGCCCGTTTCTTTGGCCTCAATCGATACTTTGACTAAAGTATTGCATGATCCTTAACTTTTTTAGTTTTTGAAATATGCTAATCTTGGTTCTTTGGCATTAGCGGGGGGGGCAATTTTTTGTATGCGACCAGAAATGCCTAGCAACTTAATAATAAGTATTACAGTTGCTTCTTTCGCAAAATTGCAATATTTAGGGTAGAATACCATTTTAAAAACCTTTTAAATTCCGTTTTTACAATTAATTTGGCCGGAAAATCAGTATTTTTGTATTTTTAGGAAATTTTCGACAAAATAGAATGTCTATATCTATATTTTCTACAGAATAAAATGTCGATATTCTAGTTACTGCTAAAATAAAATGTCGATGTTCTGGTTTTTGACAAAATAAAACTTCGATATTCTCATTTTCAAAAAATGAAAATAACTTTTTTGATGTATCGTAAATTAATTTTTAATAAATATTTATGTTGAATAAAACCACGCGAACACCCGATTCCATTAGTCATTCCGCAATAATCCAATTTACGACTTGACGCGCGGCGCCGGCTGTCCTCCTTGGTGCCGTTGCCCGGGCCGACAGTGTTTCACCACGCCAAACTTGCCGGGTGGAACACCCGGCCAATTCCCCCCCAAAAAAAAAAAATGCAGTAAAGCCCCAAAATCGGGTCAATAGACGAGAGGCTGGGCCTCTTCACCTCTCTTCTCTGGCACCTCTTTGCCATTCCCTAAAACGTGGCCCCCCCAGGCGTCGTCGCGAGTTTTTTTTTTTGACGGAAATTCCCCGGAATACTTGGAGCGGAAACGGGCGGTGGAGGTGAAGAGGTGCCCCCCTGCCTCGACCGCCACCCACTTCCTCCACTTTTCGAATTTGCGCTTTTCGATCTTTTTTTTGTTTTTCGAAATTTTATAAGTTAAAAATTCGAACATTCTATTATTCTAATTAAATTTATGACTCAGGTTATTTTGTTTAATTCGGTAATTTTGCCTTAATTAAATGTAATTTGATAAGAAGACGCTTGAATCACTTTGGAGCTGGAGCTTGTGCATTATCGGGGGGGGGGATTACAATTTTTTCGTCAGATTCGATTTTTCCGAAGAATAAAATTTTTCTAACGGCCTTTCCAAACCCTTGTTACTATCTTAAACCTCAAAAAATTTTAAAATTTCTATTAAAAAGCCCGAAATACCGATTTCTCGTCAAAAAATGCCGATTTTCAACAAAGTTCCACCTTTTAAACAATTTTTAACGTTTTAGATAATTTTTGCACCATAAATATTGTTAAGTCCATAAAAAATAATCTTAGAATAAAAATAAACCATCAAAAATCTTTTGTAGTACGTTTCTGGACGGATAAGTACAAAATCCCCCCCCCCCGATAATGCAAAAGATGCAAAATTCTTATTTTTAGTTTTTCAGCGACTTTCCGTAAATTCGCGAGTTCTGTGAAAAGTCACATCACACCCGACTCGTGGGCGGAGTAGTTAAAGGGAATTTCGGAGGTTCGGGGGCTAAGCCGAAAATTTCGCCGGGGTCCCGCCACGAAATTGCCAGCCCCCGCCGCGTACTGTGAATCTATAAAAGGGAGTTCGCTGAGCCGAATTTGACTGCCTGCATCTTTTAATGGCGCACACCCACACAATTTTCCGATGTTTACCATGTTACGACCGGGGTTACGGTAGTTAGTTCTTGTATTTTTAGATTTTTAAGCACCCAGTTTTTGGTTACGGTATAATTCATGTATCGTTAATTTTTTAAAAACTATAATTTCCCGTTACGGTAGTAATTCTTGTATTTTTGAGATTTTTAAGAAATTTAATTTGTGGATACGGTAATGTTTACGGTATTTAATCTAAGGTTTATTAAGAATTTTCCCCCATTTTACAATAGACCGGGGTACGGTAGGTATTAAGGTAGCAAATTCCTGTATTTTTTATTTTTAAAACCATTTATTTTCGATTACGGTGGTTTGGGTACGGTATTTTTTGCAATTTTGCAATTTCTACTACTCTTACAGCATAATAGTCGAAATTGCGTTACGGTAGTCTAGGAATTTTTTAATATCAAATTTTTTTTTCCAGCCGAGTACGTGACGATCCTCTGCACGGCCGGCTTTTCCCTTGATATGCCGAAAAAAGTCGGAAAAATTAATTTAATTCCGCGGGTTTCCAGGCGACCGGTAGAGAATGTGTGGCTGCGCCTGGGATTTTTGGGAAACGAAACTTTACGTATTTTTAGGTGAAACCGTAGCGCATAGATATTTTTAGAACTGTTTTACGTTAGAAAAATGCATTTTTAAGACAATGGTTACGGTAGAAAAATATATTTTTCGGAAGTCGTGATAAAGAATCCTGTCGGAAAAAAAGCGATTTTTTAGGTATTTTTAAGCCTGTTAGACTTATTTTTAAAATTTAAAAATTAATATGTTTATGCCTTTTAGATTAGATTATTTATTACATTTTTTAGTGGATTAAAAAGTTCTAAAAATCAATTTATATGGAAAAATACAGTACCCCGACTTCCATACCGTAATCTCTCTTACCGTGCCGTATCAATATTCCTCTCATGCTCACTTTCCTCAATTCCACTACGTTCCTCTTGACACCCCAATTCCCGGTGCAGATCTGGCGGCCAAGGCGCGTCGCCGTCGTCACCCTCAGAATGGGCATCATCGGTTGGTGGTAGAGGGAATTGATGAGGATGACGTGGCGCCAGTCGATGTACGGCTCGATGACGTCGACGACGACGATTTGGAGCAACTGATCAAGAGACCGAGAAGGCATAGCCATTGTCCGGTTATTGACTCTGGAGCGACGGCTAAGAGGAGGGGCAGCTCGCCGAGTTTACACTTTTTGAGGCATGATCCGGATGCGTTGTTGAGGTGAGGAATTATGTTGAATTGTGGCTTCAATACGCAAAAAAGTGATATATCCAGGTGTCACGGTCCCTTTAGAGCTTTGAAATTTTTCGGCTTTTTCTCACTCTCTCTGGCTCCCTCTCTCTCTCGATCGTTCTCTCTCTCTCTGTCTCTCTCTCGCTCGCTCTCTGTTTTCACTCTCTCCCACACCAGTGTGGGAGAGAGACAGAAAGTAAGAGACAGAGGGGAGAGAGAGAGAGTGAGATATATATAGAGAGAGAGAGAGAGAGAGAGAGAGAGAGAGTGAGAGATAAACGACCCTTACCCAGCCCTCAACTTTATAGCCACGGTTCAACCCCATCCGCCGTCGCACAAAAAAATACAGCTTTATGCCCTCTTAAAGAGCATCTATGGCCCCTCGCGAGGTCAAATGCTGCATTCTAAATCACGCTCCACTCCTCTAGGGCCCAGGCGGAAATTGGAGCCTCACGGAAATCTGGGAACCCCGCTGCAGCAAATTAATGATCCCCGTCACGGGGAGTTTGTTTCTCTGTCTCTGAGCTCAAGGCCAAGCCTAAGTTAAGTGAGCCTGAACCTTAGGCGTTCTCGCTCTCTCTCTCTCTCTCTCTCTCTCTCTCTCTCTCTCTCTCTCTCTTTCTCTCTCTCTCGTTCTTCATTGTTCTTTCCGACTTTAATGGTCTTTCGGAACTCCTCTCCCTCTGGGACTCAAGGCACCCAATTTGGACCTGGAGCTGGGCCTTAAGCGAGAGAGAAAGAGAGAGTGAGAGACCGTGTGAGAGCAAGAGAAACAAATTGATTCCCGCCAACAAAAAGCGGCACCACTTCTTTGTCCATTTGTCTCCATCGTTCCCCCAGCGCTTCCAAGGGCTTCGAATGCCCTAAAAGTCGACACAAAAAATTGTTTTGTCGATCTTTGAGCCTCTTTTTGTTGAAAGCACCTGTCACGCTCTTTTTAAAATCAGACGCTGCTCGAGCTCTAGACTTAAACTTTGGCCTCTCGCTCAATCTGAGGGCCGGCAGAGGGCACAAATTTTCGATGCGCTGCCCTCGTGTGTGTGCGCCCATCCGGGCAGGTCAGAAGCCGTGTCAACCAAATTTCCGGGCCATTCGCTTTAGATGGGACGGACGGCTAGCCGAGAATCATCGGATAACCGGATTTTAAAGGGGATGGAACTGGCCTAGGGGATTTATTGATTCGAAATTTATCTCAAACCATTGTAGGATTTCTAGGCCGAAGCCTGACCCTTGTGAGCCTAAGCCTTGATCTGAGCATGAGCCTCACCCGAGTGTACCCTGGTAAGACTACGCCTAAGCCTGAGCCAAGCTTAAGCCCAAGCTTCTCTGACCAACAATCCTCAAGAATAGTGTCAGCTTTCACATTTCCATCAATCTCTCTCGCTCTCTTTCGCTCTCTCTCGCTCTCGCTCTCTCGCTCCTCTCAATTGACGGATGCTCCTCCTCAAGATCTATTGGCTAGCCCCTAAAAAAATGCTGAGAAAACAATTCCCTCCGGGACACTCCTCCTTCCGCCCCTTCCCTGAGCCCAAGCCAAGCTTCTGCTAGCCCTCCTCTGGCCATATTTGCTCACAAAAATCTCGGATTTCACATCCGAGCCGCCCGGGGAGCACATCAGAATTTGCCGTGTTTCCATTCTCCATTTTCAATATTTGGCAAAAATCCAGACTTTTATATGCAAATTACGCGCGCTGTGCTCACTTCGCCTCAAAATTAGAGCAGGAGCTCTGCTTTGACAGATTTTCCGAACCAGGAAGTCTCGAGAATTTTTTGAAAACAAGCTGACTGGGTCCCAGACTTCAGTGGCCCTTTAAAATGATAAATTGGAGTTTTTCGACTTGCCCTGGGGGCTCGAGCTCCATTTGTCAGGCTCCCACCCAATTTATCATCGCCCAAGAAATGGCTGGCGTGACTTGGGTTTATTTAGGAATGGCTTCTTTTTGGATATTGCCTTCTCTCTCTCACTCGCTCTCACGTTTTCTTATAAAATAACTAGCCTTCTTCTTGGACCATCTCTCTCCCTCTCCCTCTCTCGCTCTCTCTCTCTCTCTCTCGCTCTCCCTCTCTGTCCTGCTATAAAATATTTATAAACCTCCCTCGGCCTTAAGCTGAGCCTAGCCCCAACTCGCGTGTCCCCTTCCCCCTCTCCGATTTTTGCTTGCTGCCGATTTTCCGTTCCGATCCCCCCTGACGGCTCATTACCATTTCCGGATCTCGATCCTTGTTTTCGCGTCTCCCTCGCGTCGTTGGGCCCAAAAATTGGCCAAATTTGATGGGGGATAAGGATAGCGGGATTTGTTGTCGGGGGTAAAAGTCGGGGTGGTGGCGAGCGGATTGGTGCGGAATTCTTGGGATATCGGTATTTGTCATTTTTGGATATTTGGAGCCTGAGCTTATGCCTAAGCCGAAGCTAAGCACAAGCCTAGGCCTAAGCCAAGCCTCTCTCGCTCGCTCTCTCTCTCTCCCTCTCTCTCTCTCTCTCGCTCTCTCTCTCTCTTTCCCCTCGCTCTCTCGCCCCCGCCATATTTTTCCGATAACATCCAAATGACGGCATATCATAAAAATGCCGAGAGACCCCCAAAAATCTATTGGCCCTCACGAACCGAGGGTCCCAGCTGTGGCCCATCCCTGTGGCCATGATGGGTCTTTCTGTAGGGCCCATCCTTAGGGCCAAATCGGCCAAAAAAGGCCCGCAAAAAGGGCCGTCAGTTGTCGTTTCGCGTCGCCTACATAGCCTATGAAAATCATGGGCTTATCGATTCGGTCTGTGGGGGTTGTTCGGGTTTTATGGGGCCCGGAGTCTGGGCGTTCGTTCGTATCCGGTCGGAACGCGTCATCGGATTTTTTGGATTTTAAAGGGGTTTGGATAGGGTTAGGCTGATGCTTAGGTTTGGGCTTCGGCTTTATTTCGGCTTCACCGGCTCAGGCTCAAAATTAAGCTCATGCTCAAGCTTAGGACTAAGCCTCTTTGAGACTTAGCTTAAGCTTAGGCTTAGCTTAGGCTTAGCTTAGACTTAGCTTAGGCTTAGCTTAGGCTTAGCTTAGGCTTAGCTTAGGCTTAGCTTAGGCTTAGCTTAGGCTTAGCTTAGGCTTAGCTTAGGCTTAGCTTAGGCTTAGCTTTAGTCTCACCAAGGTTTGCGATTCCCTTTAATAAGCTAAAGCCTCAAAAATTCCCCTCCAAAATCTCCTGGGGCAACAAATTTTATGTGAAATTCGTGGAATCCACTGCGTTGGGAATTCCCCCGGGCAACCCGACCGGAAAGTTCGTACCCGTAGCCCCGCGGAATTTTGAGATTTTTTCGGCGAGAATTTTATCGAGTTTCAGGGCCAGTGCGTGAGATAAGGTAGTCTGGTCGTTTACGACGAGCTTCAAGATAGCAGCCCAGAAATTCCGCTTTTTACATGGCGTAATTGATTGGCTGTGGCAATTTCTTACTTTGGTGGATTTTTATTTTTAGAGAAACCCCAATAATTCCAGATTTTCGTATCGTAATCGATATCTATGAAACTGAAAAAAATTTGTATTCAGATTACCTCGCCTAATCCATTCTACCATTTTTGCATTTTCCTGAAATTAATCGGTTGTTTAAAATTGCTAAAATGGCTGATTTACCAAGCGTAATCGATTGTAAAACACCTATTTCTAATTTCGTACCGACTTTTAAGCTGGCGTAAGCGGTTACGCTATGGAAATAGCCCAATAAGATACGCTAGGCAAATAGATTAAACGAATACGCTATAAAAATAGGCTAAACGATTACGCTATGAAAATAAGCCAATCGATTACGCTAGGAAAAAGTATAAATTTTTGACGCTTTGCCACGCATTAATAGACACAAATATCTCGAAATTGAAATTCACCCCAATTTTTGCCCTTCCGCCTGATTGCTTTTTTCTCAAATTCCGCTATGCGTGGCGGTGTATATAGGAATGAAATGGAGGGGGGAGGGCAGGCTTGGGGCCGGTAATTTGATAAAACTGCCGCGGATCCGCCCGGGAGCACACACACACATACACGTGTTTTTTTGGATCCTTAAAAACATCCGCATTGCATACGGATCAGGTGCGCACGTTTTCGCGGCTTTAAAGGGAGTGGGTCAGCAAGAAAAAACTTAGAAATTTGTCCATTTACCAATTTAATTCCCGTATTTTGGAAAAAATTATGTTTTCGATTTTTAAAAAATGTTTCGGTCAGCAATTTTACGGTATTGTGCTGTTAGCGGGGGGGGGGGGGGGGGCGGTAATTAAGCTAATTCTCACCTGAAATCGAATTTTTAAGCTCAAGATTTTGCCTTTTTTGTGTGTTTTCATTGTTTTGTGCTTTTTATATCTGAAAATTGCGCAAAAAGGCCCCCCGCTAAAAGTGTAGTGCCAACCTGGCGCTACCGACATTTTCGAAATTCCGAAATGATACTATGCTCGGAAGATTTTGTTTTTGAAAATTTAAAACATTTTGGAAAGGTTTTCAGATATTTTGGGGTTATAAATTCGAGGGCTTTTGACTCTATGTTTTAAAAATATTTAGGTTTAGTTTTTGGTTTTTTAGTTTAGCGAGACTTCCAAGTGTCTTTAAACTTCTTTAAACTTCAAACTTCTTGTCTTTCTCTTCCAACTTTACGCGTTTTTCTAGAACCACGTCAAGCGTTTCCGGGGAATTGTTGAAGTTGCGTAGTTGGACCTAGTGGGCCATTCAGAGAGTTTCGTTCTCTCTATCTCTATCTCTCTCTCTCTCTATCACTCTCCCTCTCTCTCTCTCCCTCTCTCTGGCTCTCTCTCCCCCTTAAGGACCCATGTGACCCCACCCTTCTTGCGTGCTAAGCCCCTAGAAACGGGCAAATTTCCGGCCCCTCCACAACCACCCCAAAAGCATCTAGAGAAAACGATATTGAACCCATTGAGGGGAAATTGCCCTTTTGAAAGCGTTTTCCTTCGTTCGTTCGGGCCGTATCGTCGTGTACTCGACCCCCCTCTAGAAATGGGCCATTTCGAGGGTCGATCAAGGCCATCCAACGGGTTTTATTGGTTTCGGGGTATTTAAATTCGGGGTTTTTGGTGTTGGTTGGCTATGGTATTTGGTCCGTTTTTTAGGTGGAAAGGCTTGGGCTTAGAATTAGACGTAGGCCGGGCTTGAGCTTAGGCTTGGGCGTGAGCTTGGGCTTAGGCTTCGACTTGGCCTAGGCGTGAGCTTAGGCTGGGCCTCGGCTTGACTTAGGCGTAGGTTTAGGCTTGGCTTGGGTTTGGACTGGCCTGACTTCAGATTATAAATGCTTACTTTCCCCTGAAAACCCTAAAAAAATGGCATTTCCGTTTCTCCGTCGGCCCCCTGAAATGAGTCAGCTTAATCCGATAAGCTGCGCGAGATTAATCGCCTGTTATTGCCGGGGGGAATCCCTGTGCGAAAATCCGATGCAAAAAATGGAAAATGCCACGGCACCGAGTAAAAAGAATTTTGCAACGAATTTTGGAATCGATTTTTTAAGTAAATTTTCTAAAGAAACTGCATAAGTCTTAAGCTGAGCCTGCTCCTTGGCTTAAGCCTAACCTAAGCCTAAGCCTACGCCAAACCCCACGCCCAAGCCTAGGCCTAATCCTATGTCCAGCCAGGCTTCTTTCTGTTTTCCGGATGCTAATCTTTGGGCTCTGAGACGTCCAAAAAAATCATATTATTGTCAATTTGCGTCTCACTCTCTCTCTCTCTCTCGCTCTCTCTCTCCCATCTCGGCTAATCGTCCGTTGGATGACGTTGTCCTCCTCTCCCTTCCTTCAAAAAGACGGCTTCAGCCCCAGACCATTATCCCTTCTTCTTCCCATTCATTATTGCCCTCATCCTCCCCCTTCAGAAGGGCCACATAGGGTCCAGTTGGCCACCTCGGTTGGCCCACCCCTCCCACAATTTGGCCCGAGCAAATCGATCTTCACAAGTGCTTTCTTCTGTACTTTTGACAACACGCTACGTTTGACAACGTTCCACTATTTTGTCGCTACGTTTCGCTACGTACTTACTGCTATGAAGGCGCTGCCATCAATACTCCGGCTGCCCGGCTCCGTGTTCCGCCACGCCATGGAGACGCCGAGTTCCGACCGGCCGCCGCCGATTCGCCGCAAATTCGGAGCGCAGTTTAGGTAAACATAAGAGGTACAACTGATGGTGTTGCTCTGGACTTGTTGAACATGTTGTCGGCATTTTCTGCCGAAATTGTCGGTGTTTTTGAGCTTGTAACCCGCCACTCAAATATTTTAAAATAATTCGACCTGGATCTCTAGCTTTCTGGGCTTCTCTCTCTGCTGGCACTCTCTCTCTCTCTCTCTCTCTCTCTGTCTCTCTCTCTCGCTCTCTCTCTCTTTCCGCAAAAACACCGAGAACAGCTTGGAGGAAGTAGATTTTCGCCTTCTTTGGCCGTTTTGCTTTTCCTTGGCCTCTGGGCCCTTAGTGGGCCCCTAGCAGCGGAAAGGCACAAAAAAAAACAACGCTGCAATCCCCCCAATCATCCAGAACTGCTCCTCCTCCATCTCTTCCTCCCCGGAGGGCTGCCACTCACAGATTGTTCTGGATAAATGGAACACCAAGCTCCTCTGATATTGATTTTTGAACCTTGAACAAAATCAAAATTTTAGGAATTTCCTGTCGTAATCGATTCAAAAACATCGGTATTATTTCTAGTACCTGAAAACCGGAAAACCGGAAGAATTTTTGGACCTCCAGTGCCGTTTGGCCACTCCAAAAAATTTTTCGAGCCGCCCGGCTGATTGAATTTTCGGTTGGGCCCCCTCCTAGGGCCCACCTTGGGGCCCAGGGCCAGAATTTTGGCCTTTTCACACTTGAAATCTACTTGAAATTGTCACAATTCCGCTATGCTACCCGTCAACGAGCTCAAGTCCAATATGGGAAAATTGTTCGTAAGATTCGGGCCAGCCGAGCAGTGGAGACGGTAAGCCTAAGCTTAAGCCTAGGCCGAAGCTGAAGCTGAATACTCATGTTGAAGAATAAAGCCTTAATTCCTACATACACTACAAGCTACAACACACAACATACTACAAAATACATCGAGTGTTTATTGTATTAAAATGGATTAAAGTTATCTATTTCCATCTTTCCAGGCATGGCGATGACCTGATCGTGACGCCGTTTGCGCAGCTGTTGGCCAGCCTGCGAAATGTGCGGACGAACCTCGTGCAGATTGCCAATATACATCACCTCGATGAAGGCCGACATCAGAATAGGTAGATGATATGCATATTTTCGGGTTTAAAGGGACTTGGAAGGTAGGAATCCATAACTACTACACCCTAGAGCCCGGGGGGGTTGCTTATTTATCCTTCTAAAGGAATCGTACAGGCATAAATCCATAGAGATATCCGTGAAGTACGAATGATTAGAACATTTTTCGTTTTAAAGGCACCGGCAAGGCAGAAATCAATACCTGAATATTTTCCCAATTCAGAAGTGCAAAACGGCCACCCCTCCACTCTACGCCACTGCCCGAAAATGTTGTATCGACCGCCTCGGAGACGTTGGGTGAGTGGAAGAGAAAGAGAGAGAGAGAGAGGGAGAGAGAGCGAGAGAGAGAGGGGGGAGAGAGCGTGAGAGAGACAGATCGACCTCATCGTCGAATTTTTCAGAGGAACTTGACTGGTGCCTTGATCAACTGGAGACGATTCAAACGCATCGTTCTGTCTCGGAAATGGCCTCCAGCAAGGTGGGTTTTTTTGGGGAGCTCGACTTATATCCTGAATTTTCGAGAACGGGTTCACCACCAAATTTCAAGCTTTGTAAGGTGTATTTACGTGTCGTAATCGGTGTTCTAAACCTCAACGAAACCCCTCCAACCCAGACGCCACACCTCAACAATTCCAGCAGAAGTTCTCGTGCTCCTCCCAGAGTTCCAGGGTTCACTGACCACACCCTGTGGAAATATTCTGGAGAGGGGCCAACACCTCCCCTTCTTCGGCTCCAATTTCTTTTGTTCTCCCCGGGGGTCACATGCCACATTTTCCGTCATTTTTCGCAGTCTGAACTCTGAAGGATTGTTGAGGGCTGTGATGCTGAAATTAGAGTGGTTTAAAGGGCTTGGCAAGGCTAGAGGGCTCCATTTACCTATCGTAATCGTCTTCTAGACACGGTTTTTTTGATTTTTGTGGAAAGCTAACTTGATTTAAAGGGACTAGGCCATCAGAAAGAGCTTAATTTACCTAGCGTAATTGAATAGGCCTAGAATTCTTCTATTTTAATTAGTAGTTTAATTTGCTGATAAAAAAGCTGATATACCTAGCGTAATCGACTTACCTATGAGCCTGAAGCCGTAGATGATCAAAACGCTAAATATCGGTTTTTATATCTATTGTAGAAGGCTAAAAAACACCCTAAAGAGCCCTGACCTCGTTTTAAAGGCCCTAGCAAGTCAGAAAAAACCGTAATCGTTTAGACCTTAACCACAAAGTCTGACTCTTGATTATTTCGTCCCTACAAGACTCACGAAAACCAAAAAACACCATTTCCCTATCGTAATCGATGGAACCTAACCCGACCTCACTGTTCGCTGGAATGTGCGCCTTTTCCTCTCTATTAGTCTGTCTATCTACCTAGATATCAGTCTATCTAGTTGATATCCCCAGATAGTCACCGAGTCCACGCGGGTCATATGATGTTTTCATCAATTTTCACCTCCCATTTGTGAGTTCAGGCTCCCCGTTCCTCCTCACTCGCCAAATTCCGGACATTTGGGCGTGAGCCCGATCTTTTGGATTACTGTAATCGGGTTGTACCCTATGTTTTTCAATTAGCTATGAAAACCTGTGGATTTCTGGCTTGCCATTACCTTTAAAACTGAAAGCTAAGACTAAGTTTAAGCGGAGGTCGAAGTCGAAGCCTAGACTTAAGCCTAACGGCGAACATTTGGACAGACGGTCTACTTCTGTCTGTATCTCTCTCTCTCTCTCTCTCGCTGTCTCTTTGTGTACAGGAGAAGCATGTGTCTGCGGCCCTGCGGGTCCCACGCTCCGGCCCGACCGCGAGGGGGTCGTGCCCCCGACGCGTCACGGCGAGAGAGCATTTTGAAGCAGAGAACGAGAGAGAGAGAGATCGACTCTGTGCCTGAACATACACAAACCATCCGGTGTCACGAAGGCCCCCTCCCATCCATCGCCACCCGGTAGACACTCATCGGGAGGAGAGAGAGAGAGAGAGAGACAGAGAGGGACATGCGTTTTGCACCTGCAAGACACACACAGCCACCACAGCAGGCTGCCTTGAAGCTGGTGACTCAGTTTTTTCAGCTCAATCTTTACATTTTGCTTTCCGAATGGCTCAATTTTGGTAAAGATTTTTTGTTTTCGGCTTTAATTTAAGTATTCTAAAGTATGGTGAGCCCTCCACGTCCTTTTAAAACCTTGAAACTGTCTGTTTAAGTTAATTTTTGCTACGAAAATCGTTTTTTTATCAATTTTAAATGTCAGCTCCTGTTCCGCTCTCTCTCGCTCTCTCTCTCTCTCTTTCTCTCTCTCTCGCTCCCCTTAAAATGTCCTCTTAAAGTCCAAAGTGTCGCTCAATTTTTGCAAAACTCTCCGCCCCCATTTTCCGCTTTTTCCGATCGACGTCAATTAGACGTCAGTGACGACAGATCGCACGATAAAAAGCCATTTTGACACGTCTCATCCTCCTCATTCTATGGCTCGTCCTTCCTCTAGCTCCTCCTCCCCTCAACATTTACAGTCCACTGACATCATATCACCGAAGTCGACACTCGTGCTCGCTCGTGATTTTCTGGTCTTTTCCCGGATTTTCGAGAGAAGTTGCAACTTTTTCGGTGGCGCCGATGAGTCGCTAGTTAGCTGGCAAGAGAGTAGATAAGGCAAAAATCTGAAGAATTTTTGTGGTTTTGTAGACTATTGGCATTTCTCCGAAATTCAGATTCTCAGCTAGCTTAGGCTTAGGCTTAGCTTGAGCTTAGCTTAGGTTTGGCTTAGGCTTGGCATAGGCCTGGCTTAGGCCTGGCTTAGGCCTGGCTTAGGCCTGGCTTAGGCCTGGCTTATGCTTTGCTTAGCTTACGCTTGCTTAGGCTCAGTTTTGGCTTAAGCTTGGACTTAGACTCAGGCCTCGGCTTAAGTTGAAGCATACCTACAGCTTAGACCTGGTTTTATAGACTTTTTCACTCTTTAAGATCCAAGAAGTGCACCCATTCCAATGATCCGCTAGGTGCCGTTCCAAATGACAGACAATATATTATCTTTTCGCCATTTCCCTGGAGACGATGAGGCCATTAGCTATGTTGTCGACTGTCAGAAGATGAGGATGAGGCGAGAGAGAGACAGACAGAGAGACAGACAGACAGACAGACAACACATCTCATCCTCCTCTTTCTGCCAACGACACACACGTGAGCCCCGGCCGACAACAAGCTAATGCCCTTATGGCCTGGAGGGCACAAAAGTGCACCCGGCAATATTTATTCAATTTTTTGTTTTGCTCATCCTCGCGCTCTGGTTGATGGCCATTGGCTGGAGAGACGTATTAAATGTACTCGCTCTTGCTCATACTGTATCTCTCTCTATCTCGCTCTCGCTCTCTCACTCTCATCCTTTCTCTCTCGCTCCCTTTTGGCCCATGTCCAACACCAAAATTCAAACCAATTTCACCTTCCCCAACGGTTTGGCTTCGAAAACTTTTGACTGGCGGCTAGCCAAAATATTTTGTGGGGCTTCAAATACAAAGTTTCCGAAGCATTACGAATTTTTCAATTTGAATTTCGCTATTTTGCATGTTTTTTAAGGGTTTGGCAAGTTGCTAAAGCGCGGGTTACGGTAGAATTTCGATTTTGGCAACGCTGGGCAAGCTTTAAAGGTATAGAAGGGTTGGAATTCCGGAAAGAGAGAGAGAGAGCCTGAGAGAACGAGAGACCGAGAAAACCAAGGTCGGTTCAAAAAAAGTTCAACTTCCGCCCAACTTTTTGGCCCCGTGGCCCTTCCTGGGCCCTAAGAACCCTTCTCATCCTCCCCTCCCTCTCGGGGCTCCTGATTGAATTTGTCAAGAAGGAGCCGATGCCCCTCAAATCCGCCTCTCCTTATTGATCCTCCTCCGGCCTTCATGTTTCGTGTATTTTGGCATAAAACGGAACGGAACGTTTTTCGCTTCTAACGGTTTAATAGCTCAAGGCTATACGAGCTCTAAAGGGCCAATTTGGATCCGTTCGAGCTCGTGCTCCATTTTTTTCGTCTAATTTCGTACTCCTTGCCGCCACCCCCACACTTTTTCGTGCAATATTTACCGGATCAAACCCCAAAGCCTCAAAATTTCGGTGACCTCGGGGTGGGGTTGACAGTTGGTAAACTTTCGAGTTTTCCGAGCCCGCCTACGGCTTTTGCCCAATTTTTATACTGTAGGTTTTGGCCATTGGGAATTTTCCATGATTCCCCCCCCCCCGATAATGCAAAAGCTCCTTTTAAGGAGCTGTTGTTGTCAAAAATTTAAACTTGCAGAGTGAAGCTTTTAACAAACCGGAAATCGGCCGGCTTTACGTTATTACGTTTCTAACTTTACGAAAGCCCAAAAATTGGCCTAGGCGTTCCTCACGCCGATTTTTGGCCCCAACGCCTTAGGGCCCAGTCGTTAGGGCCCAGCGCCTTAGGGCCCAGTGGCCCACCCAAAAAAGAAGAGGCCAAAAAATGGGCCCTTGTCCTTTTGTTGTGGCCCCCCAGGGGTGGCTGCGGCCGAAATTGGCCAGGGATTAATCGGATTCTCGCGGCCGGGGCAAACATCTTCAGCAAGGGCAGCGCGTGAAGGCTGCAGCATCGTCAAGCCGCTTTTTTCATTGTTTTCCCACAACCGTAAATGCAAAAGGTGTTTTGATGGTTTTCGGGGCGACGAAAAGCTTATAAAATAGGAACGTTTTCAAGGCCTCGTGCTCTCGGTTCTTGCCTCGTTTCATGGGAATAAATTAGCATGGGAAATTTTGCCAATTTCTAGGCAAAAAAATCGTTGAATTACGTGTAGTAATGCGGTTCTAGTGTATTAACGGGGGGTCAGGGATCAGGTATTTTAATCGACTTTTTAGTCAGATTCGACTATATTTACAGCGAAAAGTTCTCTAAAAAATTGTAAATACATTTTGAATTCGAAATTTTTTTACGAAATATCTACATTTTTTAATACAGTAAGGTTTTTGCGTTTAGAAATAGTAAAAAAATTTAATTAGAAATTTTGTTCGAAAAAGGATTTTTTGTCTATTTTTAATAAAAATTTATAAGTTTTTGCGTTTAGGAATAGTAAAAAAATAGTTTAAAGACCCATGCCTATTTTTTGGAAAAATTAAATACTAAATAAAAATTTGGTTTACCCCCAATTGGGGCCTCCGATAATGCACAAGCCCCGTGATCCCATAATTCCGTTAAATTTGAGATTTCTTGGCACTTTTCCAAGGCCTGGCCGCGAAAATATTGACTTTCCCAACCCAATTTTCACCGCGGGTTCTTAAGCGATTTTCAACAATTCCCAGGTCAATATTTTTTGTTTTCACAGGGATGTCACGCCCTATTAACAATATATAAATGCATAAAACAAGATGGCTTACGTTTTTTGGGAATTCCCCATTTTCCATATCTTCAAGGTATCTGACTTGTGGTGGAATGTTTTGTCTGTCTTCCCCCCCGCTCCTTTCACTCCTCCCCCTCACTTATCAATGGCTACAACATTTTACAATGGCCG